ATTTTGCTGTGTTGCTCGATTGCTGCTCTCGCTCCCCTGTCCTACTGGAAGGGGATAACTACGCGAGGACCTCGCCGGGAAAGGCTCGTTCGGATTGAGGGATCCGCGCAGGGAACGCTATGGCGGGTTGAAAATACGCGCACGCTCGCAGATGCACACGATCGGCGTTCACGGCAGAATCGACATGACAATGAAGTCTCGGGTGGTACTGCCCGATCGTCGGCATTATTCCGGAATGGGATCGTGCACGACGACCCTGATGCTGTCTCCTCGTTGGTCGGTTCGCCTACTTCCGCCACATCATGGCAGCAGCGGAATACCGGTGTTATTGATGACGGGCGGAATCCGCGCTACGTGCAGCAACACGAGTTTGTACGAACGTCCGACAGTGGGACATACGCGTCGGCAAATCGCAAATCCGACCCTGGCACTCAAATACCTGTCACACATGTTGCAAGATTTCCTGGCCACGTTTTAACGGTGCAACAAAGCAGAACGGATTCCTGTAGCGACATGCGAGAAAGTAGCGGCCGCTTCAGCAGCAAGGCGCTGTGGAGCAACATCAGACATTGGTCGCACCCGACGCAGGTTTCGAACCAGTGCGGCAACAAGCTCCTGAGCCCATCATCTTGCACGCCGCTGGCAGAACTTCCGGAGAGATTCCGTTCCTGTCGCCACCAGTTTCTGCTTGTCCTGCGTTGGCACCGCATTCAGCATAAGGACACATTTGCCAAGTCCAAGCACGACCTGGTGCCGTTTGAGTGCTGCCAGGAGAGCAAGATAACATGGCTGATGACCGGCAATCGCTCGCGACTGGCCGACGCCGACATTGTCGAGTTCTACATTGCCGATACGGACGGTCACTTTCCGAAACGCGGCAAGCGCAATCAGATCTTCCTGCTGTACTTTCTGGAGAGTCTTGTCTGGAGAGGTGCTGGCTTCCAGCAGCGAGTGATTAAAAGCGTGAATATTGTCCGTTCCTACATGTTCTCTGGCGCTCTGTATGCTCCGTATCCGCCAGAGCCAGGCTGCTGGGAGCACCGAGCTAAGCACATGCTAGCCGCGTCAAGGTACAAATTCGTGCCGTTTTCCAAGCGCGTGCGCAACGCCGTGGCCTCCCTGGTCAGCCACTGCGACACGTATAACAACCGCTCGGGGCTGATGGCGTCGCTCGGACGGCATGTCGCTCTGCACAACTTCGGCCGGTGCTTCCACAATCACAACCTGCCGGTCGCGGAGCAGTCCTGGAACAGTGTGCCGTTCTCGCTTGCTCGCTACACCATGGCGCTGTCAGTGGAGAACACATTCTGCGTCGACTACGTGTCGGAGAAATCGTTGCGCTACGTGATGCTTGGTGTGATACCCATCGTGGCCACGTGGCGGGGTCGGCCGGATTACGCTAAACGCATGCCCAACAATCACTCCTACGTTGATCTGAGCGACTTCGATTCCGCTCAGGCTGTAGGCAAGTATTTACATAGGGTCATGTCCGACGAGAATCTCTTTAACACGTACTTCACTCACCGTCGGTCGAGTGGCAACGAGAAGCCGGACGTGTCGGATGAATTCTCCAAGCGATGGCTCACCCCGCATGGCGACACGGAGGGATGGTGTCCTCTCGCCAAGAGGATGATCAACCCCAAGCAAAGGGCACGGTTGTGCCGCCAGACGCCACCGATCGACACGCAGTGCGCGCCTAGAGGGGTGCAGTGGAACAAGCCAGGATATTTCTAAAGCAGATCATGAGCTACTGGACCGGGAAACCGAAAGTGACGTCAAAAAAGAGAGTGACCGCCGGTGGTACAGTCCTGTCGAACGCCGCAGAACAAACATGGAGACTGCCATCACCTGTTCACCAAGCATTGTGTACCAGTACAATGTCATAGTATTTTGGTGACTCAACTATAAAGTAAACTGTTGTAATTGAATATAGGAAAGGCGTAGGGTACGACTCTAATAAACCTGTTCCTCGGTGCTCGGCAAGACTGCCGTACTTTGAAGTACATGTTGCATGACATTGTATAATAATGACTTCTTGCTATGCGTTGATTTCTACACACAAACTGCACATTTTTATCATCTCCTTTTCCCTTGGTCTCTAGCCAACACGCCAGATCCAGGCCGGGAAAATGTTCCTTTTCACTATCCTTGTTGAAACAAACGTACTGGCGTGAGAGCTGATTCTTCTTGTGAATAGCCACTGCAAGCTTGTGTCCTAAATCTGGACGATGAGAAATGTTACATTTATGTTGGAGCCGCAGGCCGGGTAATAATTATTTATGGAGGTTTACACCATAAGCCCCCCATCAGTGAAGGTGGTCCTTATGAAGTTGCAACACAACCACTGGGCTGCTGCTCTACAGTATACAAAACATACAATCATGATGGTCTCATTCACATACTGTAAATCAACAAATTTTGGCCGGTGAGAAACTTTGGCCGATCTCGAAATGAAACGTTTGGCCGTCATTTAACTTTGGCCGATTGGGGTTTTCAAAAAAGAAATCGATTGGTATTCGCTGCCCTCACATATGTACATGCAGGCACGGCTCAATAATGCATCATTTGCCTCTATGACAAATTTTGGCTTGCGATTTACTTTGGCCGGTTGGTACCCAGCGGCGAAATCAGCGAAATTAAATCGCCAGCGAAAATTAGTGGATTTACAGTAACCGCTTTTAAAATAATTATACATTAGTTGGAGAAACATTTTATCAATGACTGAATGACTATGTACAGAGCAGAGTGGAATCTCAAGACAGAGCAGGAAAGGTCGACCAGGTCGATCGAGTCAAAAACAAACAATAAAGGAGTACAACAGACTGGTGGCAGATCTAGTTTAACCCAACTACCGATAACGTACATGTGTTAGTGACAGAATTAGCAGGAGGTATTGGGCGCAGCAGGCTCGGCTAAGGTGTGAGCATAGAGAATACTGGAGTTGCTAGTAACGCCAGCTTTAGGGTCTATCTGCTTCTCGTTGCACCTCTTAACTCATACTAGTCTAGATAGAGACGGAATGCCCACTGCTGTAGACAGGGACGGAATATAATAAGGCAGAGAAAAATATGAAACATGAGACAGTGGAGGATTATAAAATGTAAGGCAGAGAGGGATTATGAAACATAATGCCAAGGAGGAATTTTACAATTGCACTAGTGGCAGTGCAAGCACAATCTCTGCTTGGACAAAGATGCAGCAGCGAAGTGTGTCCGGCAACATGCTAACACGTTGAGAGCATGCTAGCAATGTGAGAGCATGATAACACGCTGAAAGAAGGCTTGCACCATCACTATTATGCCGATCGTAAGCCAATCATCAGCCATCGGCCGTGTTCCTGGGGATTGTCCTTGCAAGAAACTGTAACCGGGGGTTATTACCCGGCTGCTTGCTTGCCCAAAGTACACCAGTCCTCAGGCTCAGAAGACACCTCAGGACAGCCCTCGCCGCTCAGAAGACACCCAGGGAAGAAGATCAGAACTATGCCGTGCAGCATCCACGGCAACAGCACTATGAGACTACACAATTGCCGGAATTAGCTCACAAAGTACATACGCACTGTGCTAGGTTCAGACGCACGAGTCGCAGCAGAGGTCGCGCATGCCTGGCTTGGAGCACCCGCGACCAGCCCGCACCACCTTGCACAGCGGTGACGTGTCCTTGCATACACGCGGCCGCCGAGAGGAACCTTCACACGCACCGAAAGAAGGGCACAATGCAAGAAAGAAACTGAATTAGAAACGGTTAACACTATATGCGCACCCATATCACCGGAGGATGCATCCAGAATCTCAGTGTATCAGCAAGCTATCCTTGTCCTTTATTGTGCCGTGCGCACCCATATCACAAGTGTAGCAACAAATGTGGAGTTCCAGAACGTTTTCTCGCGACAAAACGTTCTGGAACTCCACATTTGTTGCCATGGTTGTAATATGGGTGCGCATAGAGTAACAGTTGTCCACCATGCATGAATTACAATAAGTAATTCGGAGATCATGCAGAAAGAGTGTAAGTAATTATGTGATTGGAAGGCCAACGGGGAGGGAATGTAGAGCAAGATCACTTTGGGTGATGGTGCACTGCATTTCAAGGCAGGAGCAGGAGCATACAAAATATTGTACTGACCCCCACTGCAGCGTCGCTCCACGGTGCAGCTGCGGTACAGCGGCAGCTGCGTTCCAATCTTGGCCTTCTGGCACACGTACGGCGGCACGTTGAACGGCTGGCCTCCAACGTACTGACGACACACCACGGCCCGCACCTGAACACCTTGGCCACATGTTGCCGAGCACTGGAAAGAACACAGGGAAAGGACAAAAGCGTTTGAACAAACAAACATGGACAAAAGATGATGAATAGTAAAAAATAGTACTCAGCAGTATTTGCAGGTATTGGGGGTCAGGACGTGGATGGAGGGGGGGGGGGGGGTAGGGTAGGGGTCGAACTATTTGCTTCCAACATGTTTGTGAAGTGTACGGTGTTTCCCCGCGTATCGAATATTACCTTTTCTCCCATGGCTGCCTCCTTGCTGTCTCTTCTCCTCTCTTCCAAACCATTCTGCATCAGCAAAGTTGTCTTCCTCTTCCTTTCTTCTTTGAAGTGAATATTTACTACTTCAAAGTACAAGCAGGGTTCTAGCCACAGGGGGTAGGGGACAGGGGGGGGGGGGGCACAGCGCCCCCTACTCTGATGCCCTCCCCCATTCTGATAGCGCACCAGGGATAACCCCAGGGATATCACTATCAACACAACTGCACTACAAACAACTCACTGGTGACCACCTCTTGTTGATCCAAACGAGTCTACCTTCGGCGCACAGTACGTGATTGCACTGTCGTAGCCCGGAAGGCCTCTCATCCGTACACAGGCTGCTGTCGGCGACGCGTTTGCCGGTGCTTTTATCAAAGCAGCGTACGTCACGCCGCTGCTCTCCACCACCACACGGCCGACTACACGTATCCCAGCTGTAGCGACGCCATTCGTACCTGAGAACAATGTCAGCAACATGGTATGTATTATTAAATGTATTATTTACTTCGAGGTACGAAGACCACGAACCCGGCTCGAGACAAAAATTGATAACAAGAAAGATAACAAAGTTGCATGCAGGACGAAGATACTACTAGAAAACAGAAGTTGAGGGTTAGCACTCAACTTATTAAATAGAACAAACAACTATTGAGTCGGGGCTGACTATCCACTAGTTGCATGCGAACACCATTAACTGCTGGCATTTTACGTTGCTCCCGACCACTGGAATACAAAGTCTCCTACACAGCTAGACATGAGCAAACCACAGCTGACGCCATGTTGTGTTCGGCCTGCAAGCCACGCAGGGGTCCATCGCGGGACAAGACAAGGACCGATCTACTTACATCGAGCATGCACATTATAATACAGGTGAGACAGGGACAGTGCGGAGAGGGACAATGCTGTGAAAAACACTGTGCACTGCAGTGCCAACTGCTCAAAAATGTCCCATTGCGAACAGGCAGACCACTGACGTACGCAAACGTGCACCTCGCAAATACTTATCACTATTCTTTATTATCACGATGGCCACTCGCTCCAATAGGAGATGAGAGAATGTAGGGACATAAGGAGAAGCACCAATATGGGATACTTGGAGCTTACGCTGATGAGCTGGTACACTCTTGACTTGATTGACACGACTCGGTTGCGTTGCGCTTCTCTCCTCTCAGCCGATAGCGACGACACTGCCGAGAGTCCACCGCCCTGCCGTCTATGCGTCGATTGCAAGTGATGTAGACTACACGAGTGCCTGTTGAGAAAGATAAAAATGTTGTGCACGGAAAATATTACGGTTTCAAGACTTGAAGCATCGACACTCTACGTGCATCATTCCTGACAGCATGGGGCAAGGTTGAATAGGTGCCTCCAGAGAAGCTACCTCTTGACTGCGACCATTGTTGCTATGTTGCCCCCCCCCCCCCAACACAGGTTAACAACACAGCCCATGACATACCAGTGCCACACGTGGTGCTGCATGGCGAGTAGTTCTCACGCCAGTAGTAAACGTCTGTGCACGCGTTGGGCACGCCGACCGTGTAGCTGACCTCCACGCCGGGATCCACGCTGCTCCCCTCGCCGCTGCGTTTGAACGAGTAAACGGTCAGCGCCGTGTAGAGGCGACCCAGCACCGTAGCCACGTCGGGCGAGTCGTGAGGCCGGTGGTACGTCAAGACGGCATTCTTGCGCGGCGGAATGGCCACGTGGACAAACTTCTTCCGGCGGTAGTCGTCCTCGTTCATGAAATACGTGTCGCCGGAGCTGATGCCTGCACGACAAAGCATTGCAAAAACAGCATGGTTACCGTGAGTTTCAAAACTATAGACGCGCGATTTCAAAAAACTGTTAGGCCAGCATCTACACCACATAAAACCTGTGATCACTTTGTGGCTGAAATTTCGAAATTGGGCGTTTGCTATCCGATCGCTTAAAAAAATCTATATGAGAGTAATCGCGGGAAGGACCTGAGCAATATTCTGAAAAAATTCTCAAAAAGCTCCAGCCAAATTTAAAATATTTCAAAAAATACCATGCGTCTATATTTTTGAAATGGACTCTTAGTGCTGTAGGGTCATGTACGGTATTTTCGGGAGCATACACCGCACTGATGTGTAAGCCGCACCCAGATTATTAATTTTGTCACAACATACAGATATCTACCATCATAGTTTATCACCGTTAATTCGACCATCGTAGCACAAGGCTCTCATCGTAGTCTAAGACTTGTTTTGGGCGAACTACTGATTGAAGTGGCTTTTTTCACCCTCAACATGCACTGGATCTCAACAGTCATGCAGTCATGCAGGTACTCGTACCCATGTGCTGTCTTGCCTTCCATAGGGCTTGAACGTGTTACGCCACAGCCGGCCAGGAGTCAGGGACCCACCCACTTCTGGTAGAAATCACAACTGAGTGCAACACGAGGGGTCCACCCACACATCCTGTACTTCGGTATTGGCAGAGGGGATCCAAAAGTCGGTATATGTCGTTAGATTTACACTTCTGACGTCTGACGTCATCGCTTTCAAGCCCGATTGAACTTACTGAGCATGAACAGCTCCGAATAGTGCTTCTGCCGAATGATGACGTTGTCCGCGCTCACCGGAATCTTGACTAACTGGTGCAAGCCTGCAACACAGAGCACACACAGCGACGCGAGCGTATGACCAGCAGCCAATCTTTTAACAAGACCACAAGCTTTACGAGTCAGTTCCCGTGATGACGGCGGGCTACAAAATGGTGTCCTCGGTAATGTTCGCACATTGGCTTGATCATGAATGCATGCTTTACAACAGAACTATCAAATCATAGGCTACATGTCATGCTGCATCCCCTAAGGCCTGGTGTCAGTGCCGGATGAATGTACCCAGCATACACGATGTCCGCAACAATTTGCAGATAAGGTCATATAACTGCTACATCATTCATCACCCATGTTACATTTAGTCCACGCGATACAGATGGTATCGTGAATGCCAGGCTCTCTCCCTACATAAACATCTCCCGATCTCCTTATTTATCTCTCTCTCTCTCCCCCTCCCTCCCTCGCACCCTCGCATCCTCCCTCCCTCGCATCCTCCCTCCCTCCCTCCCTCTCTCTCTCTCTCACTCTCTCTCTCTCTCTCACTCACTCTCTCTCTCTCTCTCTCTCTCTCTCTCTCTCTCTCTCTCTCTCTCTCTCTCTCTCTCTCTCTCGCACCCTATTCACACAGCTACAGTCTTAGTATGTTCTGCCATTCAGCCTGACCTACCGCGTCTGTTTCTGGCAGTTGGCTCAACAGTCTTGTGATACACTTTGCAACAGCCTCCGCTGCCTCCACATGTGTAACAGGCGTCTCTCTGATAGCCAGAGTCAAGATTGCCATCACAGCCAAAGTCCTTGGAAACACAGACACGGAGAGGTAGGGATCGGTTTAACAGAATTAATAACGGATTCAACAACCAACAGATGGCCAAACTCCCTAGACTACAGGGGAACTAAGAGACTACGCTTACATGGTCCGACATCACACCCACCACCATAGCGATCTGGACTGACGAGCTCCAAAACATACTTAGATGCCTAGATACTGCCACCGAATCGGAAACCCCATAGGACATGGCATGAAGTTGTGATGTCGAATGTAACACAATAATAACATACCCTGTGAATGCTTCTGATGAGAAGTGCATTCATTAAACCGCGCACTCTGCATGCCTTTGAAAGAAAGGCATGTCGCAGCTGGGATTCCAGAAATACAGATTATCGCTCAGCTATGGCAGAGCCTCGTGCAACAGTCCATATCGATACAATGACTCACAGCACCATTCGCTGACATCTTTTCATCTTTTATTGAGAGTCTAGCCATATAGAACAATATTTTTTAATGATTAGACGAGAAGGTAGGAATGCCTGTGCATCTGGTGAAGTAAAATCAACAAACAAAAGCCAACAAACAAACAAACAAACACCTACCAGGGTACACGTCCCGTCCAGGCACTTGCCGTCGACGAAGCCACCGTCCACCGGGTGTTTACAGTCTGCGCCGTCCGGCAAGCTCACGCTGACGTCCAGCGGGCGGCTGCTCGGCTCGGCGGCGTTCAGACACAGCACGCGGCAAGACGAGTGGTCCGTCGAGTTCACCGGGATGAACGGCACCAGGTGCCCGGTTTCGGCCGTGCTGAGCCGGGTGCACACGTCCTCAGCGTCGCGCACCGGCTGAGCTATTATGCTGTTTGCGTTCTGAGTGCACGGCTAGTAGCATAGCAGTAAAGGGAAAAAGAAATGCAACAACCAGCATTACACCTTGCCAAAGTGCAAGTGTTTAACACTGGCACGCTAGACGTCACACAGTTATTGTACACCCGGACGAGTACTATATTCTCCGGAGTACAGTAGACGCCGCCCTAGAATATAAGCCGCCCTGGAATTTAAGCCGCACTGGAGTATAAGCCGCACCCCTCCCCATTTTGTGCCAAGAAATACAGACATCTATCCTATTCATCACCCATAATTTGATCATCGGAGTATACCGTATTTCCACAAATAGTAGGCTGGTCTACTATTTTTTCAACCTCGTCCTAACCCGGCCTTATAATCGAGGACGGTCTTGTATTCGAGGACGGTCTTTTATTCTTTCAACCCAGTTTGACCCCGGTCTTCTATTTCTCGCCACACAGTTTTACCCCTGTTCTTCCATTTTCTTCTACACAGTTTGAGCACGGTCGGACCGGTCTTCTATTTTTCCCCACAGTTTGAGCACGGTCTTCTATTTTTAACACAAAAACAAAGACTCATTTAGTAGGCCCGGTCTTCTAATCGGAGACGGTCTTTTATTTTTACAATCGCCCCCTGCCCCGGCCTTGTATACGAGGAAGGCGTTGTATACGAGGACGGCCTTTTATTTGCGGAAATACGGTAGGCCGCACCCCCCCCCCCCCCCAACTCCTCTTTGGGTGAATTTTGAGCGTTCAAAGTGCAGCTAATACTCCGGAAAACACCGTACATAGAGCGGCTGCACGTCTACCACACGGTCATTCAGTAGTACAGAGGAGCTATGTTGGTCCCAACTCCAGTCAATCCCTGCATCTATGTGTAACATATCAGCTAGGTATGTTGGTTCCACTGTCCACGCACCATGTACACGTTCTACACAATCACATTCACTTACCCGTCGGATGCATTTACGGATATCCACGCTACGACCTTCACAATCCGCTCCACCGTTAGCAGGCCTGGCAAGCGATTCAGTGCAGAACATAACTCCATGAGTACAGAGGTTAACATTGTACTTTTAACAACACTTTTTAAATTGGCATTTGAGCTGCTTTGCACTTCGTGGCATCACAAGCACGTGTCCACTATACTCCATACAACGTATACTGTGCTTTGTATGGAAATGACATCATCACAATCATTATGATGATGTCATGATGATGTCATATACATAGCCCTCACTGGCCCTCAGCCTGCCGGATGAAGGCCACGTCA